GCCACACACACACACACACACACACACACACACACACACACACACACACACACACACACACACACACACACACACACAATACACGATTCACACACAATACACGATACACAAACTACACGATTGCACACACACACGATTGCACACACACGCGCGCGCGACACAGGGCGTGGGGGCGTTCCGATTGGCACGCGGAGTGTGGATGCGCTTGATGACGACAGTTTCCGGCCAGACTCGACCTTCCGCCAGTCATTCCGCCAGCCGCAGGTCGAATCGTGGCAGCGCGGCAACGTCACAAGGTGGGTGCTTGCAGGGTGCTTGCAGCACGACATGCCGTGTCCTTGTTACCGTGTGTGCGTCTGCGTGTGTCAAGGACACAGGTGAACACGCCCTCGACACTTCATACACACCCTCATTGCACACGCACTCACACACACGCACCTGCACACCTTCACACCTGCGCACACGTGTGCAGATATGGACAGAACCTTCAGCCGTGGGCCAACAGCTTCCGTGCGTCGCGAGGCATTGTGCCCACCATCAACGCCCTTGACCTTGATGTGACCACCAAGACGACCCCCACCAACGCCGAGGCGTTTGCCACGGGTCTTCAATTCTCCAATCGCTTCTCCACCACCTCCAGCAGGCGCGCCCCCACCACTCTCTCCGAGGACGACATTGCTAACATCCACCGCGTCGTCGCGCCAGAGGCAGCGGTGCGTAACACGTGCGCGCGCGTGTATGTTTCTATGTGCGTGTGCGTGCGTGCGTGTGTGTTTATGTGTGTGTGTGTGTGTGTGTTGCGGGAGGGAGCCAATGGATCATGTGGCGTGAGCTAGCAGAGCGTTTTCGCCATTTTTCTGAAACGCACACACACACACTCACGCACACACTCACACACTCACGCACACACGCACTCACACACGCAACCAACCAAACAAACAAACTTCCCAATGCTGCAGGAGGCGCTTGAGTCGTGGCTGCGCGCTGCGCCAGGCTTTGAGGGTGAAGTGATCAAGCGGATGCTCAGAGACGTCACCACCTCCCTCGAGACGCCGGTAAATCGGCACGGGGTGCTGCTTTGGGTCAACGTTCCATGTTTGTCTGCGCTTGCACATACACACACGCACACACACACACACACACACACACTCTCTCTCTCTCTCTCACTCTCACTCTCACATCCCTTCCTCCCCCCCCAAAAAAAAAAAAAACTCACGTACCCACTTGTACTTCCATAGAGCCACACCGCTGAGGCACCCTCCTCCCCGCTCCCAGCCAGCACGTCCAAGACCACCACCTCCACCGCTGCCAGCAGCGACAAGGTTGGTTGCGTCGCGTCCTCCACCTCGCCGAGCGGGCGCACGCGCTCACGAACGCCAGACCCGGACGTCGTGTCCAAATGGGGCGGGCCCGTCACAAGCGTCGTGTGATTGCGTGATGCACCACGCATGGGGGCGTCATGACAGGAGCCACCCTCGCGTACACCTGCTGTGCACTGGCTGCGCGCAACCAACGCACGCGCTTGCACATGTCAACATGCCCCCCCTCCACTCTCTTGTCTCTCTATCGTCCCCCCTTTATTGCTGTCTCTTTTTGTCATTCATTGTCGCCTTTTTGCCCTGTTGTGTTTTTCATTATGTTTATGTGTTGCTTTTGTTCGCTGTGTAGTTCTCGCAAGTCGCCGTCAACTGGGGCGCATGTGTGCGTGTGCGTGTGTGTGTGTGTGATGCTTTGTCTGCAAGGTTGCAGCACCATTAAGTGGACTTATCAATGAACGAAAGCATGTGCGACAGCATCGTATGTCTTAATCGGTGCGCTGGTAGGTGGGATGTGGGAAGTGCGAGCACTGCACCGACAACCCATGGCGGTGAGTCGGCAGCAGATACTAAAGTACGAGCGTGCATCCAGCCAGGTGTCCTGTATGGCTGTTGCTGGGCGCGCTCGTTTGATGTGAGGGAGTTGCATGTGAAGCCACTCATGAAGCTGCTCACACACAACACTTTGTGGCATCACATCACTCAAAACCTCGCGGCACCAACGTAGCAGCATCTGCACAATGTCACGTCAGTCACTGCTTAGAGAGGGGTCTATTGTGAACATCTCTTCTGCTACACACGAGGAAAAAAAAACAAAGGTTGAAACGAAGAGCAGCACGGGATAAAATGTTCAGTCATGGTGCTGACAGGGTTGTTGAGGCGCTTGTTGTATTTTTAATTACGTCCGTGTTTGACTGTGACAGGTGAGTGGAGTGAAGTGGGCGTCCAGGGGTCTTGTCAGAACAACCGTTGGTGTGTGACAGCCTTTGTTCTTGGCTTGCACGCGCTTGCATGCTGGGCCATCTGCAGTGTGTGCATGTGTACGTGTGCGTGCATGACAATTTGAGTGTGGGAACGTGTCTGCATATGTATGGAGTGCGTGTGCGTGCATGTGCGTGAAGCTGGAACAAGACAATAAAGTGCGTTGAAGTACAATGGCACGCGTTTAACACCCGCACACCCACTTCAGTTACGGTGTTGAGGGCCTTGGTCACTTCAGTGAGGCTGGCGGCGAGCGTGGTGTCAACCATCTCCTGAAACAACAAGGGGAACATTGAATTGGGATGGACAGCATGGCTCTCGTGAGTGCGAGTGGTGGGACGACGTATCGTGGGTGAGCGGCGCCGACATCAACGACTCAACAAGCCTGGGCACCCGCAGCAGCAGCAGCAGTACGAGCAGCAGCAAGAACACAAGAACAAGAACGAGAACAAGAACAAGAGCGAGAGCGAAAAAAAAAACAGCAAATGAGCAAGCAATAGGACCTTCATCAAGGTGCTCTGCAGCGTGTCCTGTGCGCCCACGGGGAGCTGGCTGCACAGCGAGGCGAGATCCCGCAGCACGTGCCGCGGCGCCGCCACCTCCCCTGCACGCAACACAGACCGCAGAGTGGGGGTGGGTGGGAATGCGTGTGGATATGTTTGTGTGCGCGCATTGAGAGAGTGAGAGAGAGAGTGTGTGTGTGTGTGTCTGCGACGCTTGTTCTTCTCTCATTCTCTCTGTGTGCATTGTGAGTGTGCGTGTGTGTGTTGCAGAAGATGACAGATATGTCCAGCAGCGGCCACAATTGCATGCATGCCAACCTGCTTTGACAGCGCACAGAAAGTTGCGAATAACGGCAATGCGTTGCGACAGCATCTTAATCGCATTGTACTGCCCAGTTAACTGCATCTCCACTGCAAACGTGTGTGTGTGTGCATATAACACATGGGAACAAACGAGAGCAGAGCGTCAGGGTGAGGGGTAACCAAGAAATGAGCGCAGTGCACGTGAACAATGCTCGATGCTCATCTGAGGCACACAGCACCAACAAAGAACACACTGCACTGTCTTGCACGTGTGCCGTGAACAAGAGCGGAAAGCGCAGAGGAGCAAACGTCTCCATTAGAACCACCACTGCTACCACCATCACCCACGCAAAAACACCAGCACCAAACACCACAGCCAGACCTTGCGATTGATTTGCTTGCGCGTGCATACCAGACTTGGCAATGTGATCCACGCCTGCACCGCAGCAGCAATGTTGAATGGGAAAACGAAACAGCCAGCACGGCGTCAGTGTTGTAACAAGGGTCGCAGGGCGTTGGCTGTGTGTGGGTGTGGGTGTGTGTCTGTCTGTCTGTCTGTATGCGTGTGTGTCTGTGCAAGTGCTCGTGGGCATGTGTGTGCAAATGTGTGCGTGCGGTTGCGTGCATATGCGTGCGTGTCAAGTGAAATCGCACACCAACACAGGACGTGAGGAGGCAAAGCAGATCAAAGGTGTGGGCGCGTACCGATGCGCTCGGCTTCATCTGTGACAATGGTGAAGGTTGCCTTGAGAAACTTCAGCTGTTGCTGCGCACGTGGCGGGAAGCGATTCAGAGAATGAGCGTGAGGAGAAATAAAAAAAAAATATGGTGGCGAGTGATCACTGACACAATCTCTCGCACTTGCGCGCGCACACATATACACATACACACTGACACACAGATGTACATGTACACACACACACACACATGCACATACTGAAACAATCTCTCGCACTTGCGCACACACACACACATACATACTGACATACACTGACACACACTGACAAAAACGCACGCACGCTCAGACACACAGACACAGACACAGACACAGACACACAGACGCAGACACACACAAACACACACGCGCGCGCGTTCACCCAACCTCGTCTTGGCGGACTTCCATGAATGTTTCATAGAGGGCGACCGGGAGGGCCTCGCCAGCCACGTCTTGCTTCGGGTCGAGCAGCAGCAGCAGCGGGGAGTCCGTCAGCTCACACACCTGAGCCAAGATGATTGCGCATGTGGGTGACACGGAGTAACACAGGGTGGCGCATGGATTGAATGGCGTGAGCTGGCAACAAACAGCACGAAAGGCGAAGTAAGCAGGGTGCAGCTGAATTGGTCGACACCCATGCAAAACTGTCACATGCAGACGCAAACACGACCACAGGACGGCACAACTGCGGTGGCAGACCTTCTTGTGCATGGTGACGTGCGCTTCGGTTGGCGCTGTGCCAATGGAGTACCACCCAAGCAGCTCATAGTTGTCAAAGTTTCGCTTCACTGTGTGTGTGTGTGTGTGAGTGTGCGTGCGTATGTGTGTGTGTGAGTGCGTGCGTATGTGTGTGTGTGTGCGAGGATGTGCGTGTGTGAGGATGTGTGTGTGTGTAAGTGAGTGTGAGTGTGAGTGAGTGTGAGTGTGTGTGAGTGTGTGGTGTGGAGGTGGTTCGTGGTCAGTGCTGGCTTTGTGAGTCGACACATTCGACGTCGACACCAGCAACACACACACACAGATACATACACAGACATAGACACACACCTGCTTCGTCAAGCTGAAGCTGCAGCATTGTGTCGAGAGAGCCGTCGTCCTGTGTTGCCCAGGCTACCGATGTGCACAGCTCCAGCTTGCGGTCCGATTGTGTGCCATAAATGGCGCCAAGCACTGCCAAAGGGATGATAATGGAAGCGTGTGAGACGGCTCGTCTGCAGACATCAGGCCTCAGGGCGCAGCCGCAACACGGACAAATACATCTATGTACACATACACGCACACGCAAACAACCGCACAAATGGACAACCACAAACACAGACACACAGACACACAGACACACAGACACACAGACACACAGACACACACATACACAACACCCCCCGACCTGGTGGGGTCTGGCGAGGGTCTTCCTGGTTCATGCGGATGCGAGTGTAGTGCTCTGAGATGTTGAGGATGACCATGGGGTGGAGTTGAATCAGGGACGTGGCCGCGGCATGACCATCCACAACCAAGCTGGTGTCTGCATCCGTCGACAGGGTGGCTGCCTGTGACTCATCGTCCCGGCCCACGTCCATTGCGCTCATGGCTGTTCTGCCGTTGTGTGGGTCAGTGAAGATGCGGTGTATGGGAGGTGTGGTGTGGAGGTGCAAAGGTGTGGAGCGTATGGGAGGTGTGGAGCGTGTGGAGGTGTGGAGCGTGTGGAGGTGGCACTTGATGCTGGCGGTGTGCGACAAACAGACAACAAGCAAGCAAGCAAGCAAGCGAGCAGGACAAGCAGCACCAAAGAAGCAGTGTACTTGTAGAAAAGTAACGAATATTTTCAATAACTGTTCTTGTCCTGTCGTGAACCGTGTATCCCCGCCAACGCTGCTTCCTCGTTTCGCTCCTCCCCTCTGCGATCCGCTGACATCAACGTCGATATGACCGGCATCGTGGGCCCGTTGCTGGTTGCAGCACTGTCGTTCACGCTGATGGTGATGCAGTTTGGCATCCACAGCGTTCAGGAAGGTTATGTCGCGGTGTACTACAGGTGAAGCCGTCTGTGCTGCTTGCAATGATGTGGTGCTTGCGCTGTTGTCGGTTCGTCGGTTGGTTCTGTGTCCGTCACAAAGTGTCTGACGTGGACGTTTGCTCCCAGCTAGAATCTGCGGCCTCATCTTGCTTGGGGGCACATCACGATAGAGGAGGCGCGCTGCTGTCCACGGTGAACGGGCCAGGGTACCACATCATGCTCCCTTTTATCACCAGCTACCGCCAGATCCAGGTGCATACACGTGCTGGTGTGAGGCCCCGGGAGAGAGAGAGAGAGGGAGAGAGAGAGAGAGAGAGAGAGAGAGAGAGAGAGAGAGAGAGAGAGAGAGAGAGAGAGAGAGTGTGTGTGTGTGTGTGTGTGTGTGTGTTTGAGTAGCTTGCGTGCATCGCCACACAGCGCGTCGCTCCTACGCTTACCCAGCGCTGTGTGTTGATCTCACACTCAACAATCAACAACGCGTGTTTGTAGGTGACACTGCAGACGGATGAGGTCACAAATGTACCGTGCGGTACCAGGTACGTTCCGCTGCCAAACCTACAGCCCCCATGCCTCAAGGCGTGCCCGCGTTCACTCACACACTAAATGCGTGGCGTATTGACTGTGAATGTGAATGTGAAACCACATCACAATTGCAGCGGAGGTGTCATCGTGTACTTCGATCGCATTGAAGTCGTCAACATCCTGGATGTTGACCACGGTAAGAGATAGTGCTTGTGTGGTGTGCGGGTGCGTGTGTGTGTATGAGCTTGTGCCAGTGTGTGCGAGTATGATCTTGTGCGCGCGCGTATGTGTGTTTGTGTCTGTGTGTGTCTGTTCCTTTAATTGCTTGTGTGTGTGCGAGTTTGTGTGTGTGTGTGTGTGTCATTACTTGTGTGTGTGTGTACATGCTCGTGCGAATGAGTTCCAAATTGCCAATTTGATCATGCATGGAAGAGGCTGACGGCGACGCAAACGCTGAGCAAAGTGCTGGGTTGTACATGCGTGTGCTCAAGCCTGCCTCGATTCACACATGTCTGCTTTGATTCACACAATCATGCCATCACCACGACACCACCAGTGCACGAGACTGTGAAGAAGTACACGCCGGACTATGACCGCGCCCTCATCTTCCACAAGGTCCACCACGAGCTGAACCAAGTAAGTGAGCACGGTGACCACAATAGTTGCACACTAGTCTCGCCGCCTACACATGATGCTGCTCGTGCTGTTGTCGCTGCTGCGCGTGGTTGGTTTCCTCGTATTTGTAAGAGCCACGTTTGCTGCCGTCGTTACCATTCACAGCAGCACACGTTTCTCTTGGACACCCTCCCCACTCACCACTCCGACTCAACTCAGCCACGGCATCGACCACAATCGCCTAACCACGACGACCACCATCACCATCATCCCCACCACCCACCACGACGCCAACCATGCT